CCAAGGTGGTTATGTGTAAAATGGAGTTAAAATTATGAAATACATGTTAAGAACATGGCACAGAGAAGACACTTGGCAAATGTTAGGTCCCTTCTCCTACAGGATCCCTCAAATCTAAGCAAACCATCCTATTCCGGGGTTAAAGATCTGGATGATTAGTGAAAACCTAAGTAGTTACAGAAATGTAACTCAAGAGATGTGTTGTTATTAATAAGACCACAATAAATTCATTGTCATAGGCAAAGAAGACCACAGCAGAAATTGTTGTCACGTATGTACCGTTACAGAATAGCCAAGAGTGGTTCTTTTTAAAAAATCCATGATGTTGAGTCTTTTTTAAAGGGGTCAGGCTACTCTTTGAACTTATTCTCTGCCATCTAATAAATATGGCTTCTTGTTTCCAAACACAAAATATTCAAAACACTTCAAAGAGGTATAAAATATTTCCAACTTATGGCACGGTTTGAGTCTTCTGAATGGGGGTACCATGGCAGCTGTCATGTCCCACATTGGCCAGGAGTGAGAATCCCCGGGATCATCCAACTTGTCAGCGCCACGAGAAGACTTTAAATCTGACTCCTTTAAATCTCCTCTCTGCTAGTCCACTTGGGTGAGGACTGGGTGGGGGTACTCATGGACAGGCACTGGCAGAGGATGGGCCTTAATAGGAGGCAAGGGGTAGACTGACAGTGGATGTGGGCAGGATAGAAGCATAAGCTCAGAGTAAGCACAGTTGCTGTTGTCAGGAGGCATGCATAGGTCTGCCACCAGAAAAATTAAGCAATTATCAAATTCGATGCTAAAAATATTAAAATGCATAGCGTGGTTTAGAATACTTCTTTAAATTTTGACCTAATGCTAGAGAGTTATGTGCCAATAACTATCTTATATATGTGATTCCAATTCTTGGCACAATCCTGTAGAACTGAGGTACATTACTGCATATGAGGGTGGTTTAAATGTTTTATAATGATTATGTTAAAGCTCATATTCCTCATACACATAACTTTACTTACTATTATGAGTTAGACGTGCACATGAGTAGACAATGGTCTCCTTCTATTAAATGCAACTGGCTGAAATTAGTGTTTAAGTTGCCAGGTTGTAAGAGAAAAGAGATCAAATTAATGAGGGTAAAGTTGTATAATCAGTTTATAAAACAAATGCCGAAGGCAAGGCTGACATCAACTCCCACGCATCTAAATACACTTAAAAATGCTATCTTCTCTTTTTTCTCACCACCATTGCTCTAATTCAAGCTGTTTCTTATTTTCTTTCATTCATAAGCAGTGGATGAATCATTTATCTTGGCACACATCAATTCAATCATGTCACTCATCTCAGAAACCTCTGAGGGTTTCCCATTGCTTCAGAAACAGAAGCCCAACTCCTCAGCAAGGCATTCATGGCTCTCCTAAATTTGGCCCATCCTAATTCAATGGTTCTCAACCACTAGAGGAGCTTTAAAAGAAAACAGGCTTAGGTCTCATGTCCCAGAAGCTCTATTTATTAGTTCTGGGGAAAGATCCAGGGACTTGTATTTTTAAGAATATCTATGGATAACTTTTATTCACTGCCAGGGTTGAACCACTGGAGTAATTTTCCCACCTATTATTTCACTCAACATGAACTAATTAAGCCTTCTGTTCCAGCCAGTACTGATATTTTGTTTGTTTGTTTTTGTATCTCTAGTCCTCTATTCATGCTGTTAATCCAACCTGGAATACAATTTCCTCTCCTAGCTCTTTATTTAAATCTTCACTATTCCTCTAAGACTAACTGAAATCCCACCACTACCTTTACAAAGTGGTGAATCATAATGATATTGCCATTCTGATAATCCTAAAACCATCTGTTATCCTCATGAAGTATTTCATGGCAATTAATAATATACTGTTTGAACTCTGAGTGTCTTTCATACTTCACTCCCTGATTTTCAGGCTCCTGGAGGAAAAGCAAACTTTTCACAATACTTTGGTTCACATTTCCTAGCCCCTGGTATCTGCAGTGTTAATAAGCATAAAGTAGACATTCACTCCTGTGCTCAAAGCTTTTGATGACTGAACAAATTAAATTCTCTAAAATTTATGAAGTATTTTCCTTACAGCCTGACAACATAAACTGTCAAACTCCAGGGCTGTTTATGCACATAGTGATGTGTTTTTCATGGGAAGTATCACTATGCCCATGTAGAAATGAAGAAATAACTACTTGTCCACAAAAACTAATGTGATATCAAATACAAGGCTGATGCCTATAAATGTGTTTTTCCTATAGATAGAAGTATTTTCTATGTTTATACAGGGTGGGCAAAAGTAGGCTTACAATTGTTCATATGGAAAAAATATAATACAAGAATAAATAATAACACAAGAACAACCTGTGTTTCACATACAATTGTAAACCTACTTTTGCCCTCGCCTGTATATTTAATTCCCATAAGTTTGTAGAACAACAGAAAGGGGGACATGGTAAAACAGTCCATAATATGTCATTTACCTGACTTAAAAATGACCCGCCCATGTGATAGAACAGCTGAAGCCCTGTTTTACAGTCCTAATCTACTATGTGGAGGATAAGAAGAGCAAGTGTCCCCTTGCCTTCAATTTAGGAGACACAAGAGTATCAGCAACCTAAATGTCTCTTCTGCAAATAATGAAAACCATAAAGCTATTTGTGTGAGTATAACAAAGATGTTGAGCTACTACCAGAGCCATAGCTCAAGCCCTCCTGCTGCTCAAGTTGCCCAGAAAGTAGCTGTTCTGACTCTAGAATGTGGGATATGTGTTTCCATATCCAAAGCTAGAAATTCTCTACAAAACAGTGTTATACATGGTAGCTATTTGTAGTTAAATCAGTACTGGTACTTATGAGTTAAATAGTCTGGGGAGAACTGGCTGAGAACCTAACCACTATTTATAACATTGTTTTGGTAGAAAAATGCTTTCTGCATTCCAAACAACAGAATTAGGCATGAACTTTTGGAATACAGTTTATTTCATAGTTTGGGAACTGACTGTATCTTGTTAATTACACTATGGTCAGTATTTTCCTAGGATAAGATAGCACAATAGACTTTGAAAGGAGTGCATAACAGGAATGAATAGTTGCCATGAATATGAACCATATGTGTCTACAAGGGTGAAAAATGGCTAGGATGATGGGAGAAAAATCCAGGCACATTCTTAATTTATTAAACAAATACTTACTAATCATGGTTAAAAGCTATGCTGAATGCTATAAGAGAAAAAATTTAAATATGGAACTGCCATTTGACCGAGCAGCTGCACTTCTGGGAATATATCCTAAGAATCCTGAAACACTAATCAGAAAGAATATATGCACCCCTATGTTCATAGCAGCACAGTTTACAATAGCTAAGATCTGGAAACAGCCCAAGTGCCCATCAGTAGATGAGTGGATAAAAAAGCTATGGTACATTTATACCATGGAATACTATGCAGCTCTAAAAAAGAGGGATCTCTTACTCTTTGGGATNAGTGGATAAAAAAGCTATGGTACATTTACACCATGGAATACTATGCAGCTCTAAAAAAGAGGGATCTCTTACTCTTTGGGACAGCATGGATGGACCTGGAGAGTATTATGCTAAGAGAAATAACCCAGTCAGAGAAAGACAAGTACCACATGATCTCACTCATATGTAGAATCTAATGAACAAAATAAACTGATGAACAAAATAGATCCAGAAACATAGAAGCATGGAACAGACTGAGGGATCTCAGAGAGGAGGTGGGGATGGAGGAGTGGGTGGAGAGAGATTAATCAAAGAACTTATATGCATAACCCATGGACACAGACAATAGTGTGGGGAAGGCCTGAGGGGGTGCAGATGGGAGGTGGAGGGGATCAATGGGGGGGGAAGGGGAAATCTATAATACTTTCAACAATAAAGATTTAAAAAAAAAATTCAGACAAGTTGTTTGATTTTATAGTCCTTACAACCTAGGACAGGAGGTAAGACAGACATAAAAACAAATAAAACTACACGGTAAAATGTGCTACTTTAGTGATAAAAAATATATATATATTAGATGAAGTCAGCAGACAGAGGATGAGCTAATGCTTTCTAGCTGGAGTGATCAGGGAAAGCTTCATGGAGGAGCTTGCACCTGAGCTGAGCCTTGAGAGCTTGCACAAGATTTCAACTGGTGGAGGAAACAATAACGGAGGAAAAGCAGGGAACGTCATAGAAAAACATTAAGAAAAAAACAGCAGAAGTCAAGACAGAGAGATATGAAAAACAATGAGAATTCAAAAAATGGGACAGTCCAGTTGACTAAAGTGGGGGATGTTTTTAGTAACCTGGTAGAAGGCTTTAAATGCCAGACAAAGTAGCATGGATTCCATCTAACAATGAGTGGGGAGCTATTAAAGGGTTTTAATGTTACTGGAGTGATTCTATAAGCAGATCCATCTGGCAGCAGAATACAGAATGGAAGAGAAAGAAGGAAGACAGAAGACCATTAGGAGATAATTCTAAACACTTGAGATTGGTTAATATGACTTTTCAAAGCTAGTTTTTTAAATAATTAAGGTTCAAGTGCTAGTTAACTGCTAAATATTTCCCTTTAATGACAAAGAATTTACAAAGAATTTAGAAAAACCATATAAAGTCTTAAAAAACTGAAAAATGAAATATTATCTACAATGCAAAAGCCATTTAAAAAACATGAGTTTGGCACATAGTCAGGACTATGATGATTAGACTTGATACAAAATAAAAGATTATTTTGAGGTGTTAGTCTCATTTTAAATATAGTACTACAAGTTTAAACAGTATGTTTTTAATAAGCACATGAAATGTAATAAAAATCATCATTCCACTATTTTCCAAGATGTGGGATTCAATATACAAGGTGATGCTAAGATATTCTGAGAAATATGAGAGTTGAGAAAGAGTTAAAGGTAAAGGTCTTAATTCTTTACATTTTAAGTCAGTCTTAAGCTGGTACTAAGATGGATGTGAGGAAACTTACTTGAAGTGATCCGAGTTAGCAAATGTCTTCTAAACATCAAACTTTTGGTATTCAATGAGCTATGACGTACGTCTTTATCTGAAAACAAATTTAATGTAAGTAATGAAATGGAAAGAATTGATAGGTAGCTTATTCAAGTCAATTAGTTTATTACATTTTAAAGACCATAAAAGAGTTATATGAAGTCCTATAAAATTGATATTACTTATACTATGTATAATTTAAGGACCTAAGATAAAAATCTTAAACTATGTTCAAAGACTTTTAAAATAGGAGACATAATACATTCCCTGTATATATTTTGTCAGTGTCCTAAAAATTCTGGAAAATATATTATTAACTATTTAGCCTGATTTACACTAAATTATATATTTAAAATTTAGCCAACAATCAAGCCCTCTTCAGTACGAGAGCAGGGAGAGATGAAGTTGAATAAGAAATAGTTCCTGTCTTTAAGAAACCTACAAACCACCATAGGAGGCAGAAAAATATGGATAACTCCATATCAAGGAAACTATAATAAGCGCTACAAGTTGTATACAAGGTGCTATGAGATTTTGGAGAGGGTTAATTACTACAGGGAATAGGTGGTAAGGCTCTGTGTTATGGACTAAATTGTGTTCCCCAGTTCCCAAAATTCATGTATTGAAGCCCTAACACCTAGTATCTCAGAAAATGTGACTGTATTTGGAGATAAGCCCCTTAAAGGGTTAAGTTAAAATGATGCCATTAGCTTGGGCCTTAATCCAATCTAACTGGTGTCCTCATAAAAGGAGATTAGGACACACAGAGAGACACTGAGGGCACATGCACAGAGAAAACCAGGTGAGGAGATAGCAAGAAGGTGAACATCTGCAAGCCAAGGAGAGAAGCCTCAGACAAAAATCAAACCTGGGGACACCTTGTTCTTGGACTCCTAGCTTCCAAAACTGAGCAAATAAACCTAGCAAAACTAATATACACTGTAAAGGTAAAATTTAAATAGAGTTTCAAGATATAGGACTTTTAATAGAGATGCTGGAAAGGTTTGCAAACAACATTTCAGGAAGAAATAAAAACTATTTTATTTTAGGCACAGAGGCCACATGCACAGTGTGAGCTGAGAAACAGTCAATACACTTCTGTAATAAGAGTGTAGTTTGGGGCCCTGGCCGGTGTGGTTCAGTGGTTAGAGCACTGGTCTGTGCACCAAAGGTCTCTGGTTTGATTCCTGGTCAAGGGCATGTACCTGGGTTGCAGGTTCAGTCCCCGGCCCCAGTCAGGGTACATGTGGGAGGCAACCAATCGATGTGTCTCTCTCACATCGATGTTTCTCTCTCTCTCTTTCTCTCTCCCCACCCTCCCTCTCACTCCCTCTAGAAATCAATGGAGAAAATATTCTCAGGTGAGGATTAATAAAAACAAAACAAAACAAA